CGATTATTTATTAGATCCTATGTTGGCATTTTTAATTTACATACTGTATTTATATACTGCAAATAAGTTTAGTAGTTACGAAGCTAAAGCACGCATAGTAAGGTTGAAATCGGACGCGGGACGAGTCTCCTGCCTAAGTGCTATGCTACGCGCTATCTCATTGGTTAGCGTCTAGCCAATCAGTGTCGAGGCCACTCGCAGCTACGCCAGCAGAAAAACCAGATCATTTGTGCTTCATCCATCGTAGTGAAAAGATCAAGGAGACTTAGCTTCCCGTGATTTTGTGACTCGATTTGCACAGCATAGCATATGAAGATTTTGAAATGTGGATGTAATTCATACAGTTGCTAAAATAATGTAAGTTGCACAGGTGTTTTCGGATGTTCTGGTTGATACTTCATGGATATTGTGTGTTGTGCAGATAGATTGTGATGCTGTCGAAAATGCACACAAGTGTTTTCGTTTTGCTTTTTCTGTAATATACATAGAATTAACGAAGTGTTTCTCTGGTTTACAGAGTCTGCATGATGACAAGAGCAACCGTAGTCCGATCCCCGACAATAGACCGACTTCATTCTATGCACCAGGAGAGTGCCATTTCTAAGTCGCGAGGTCTAAACGAAAATGCATTGCGAGAGAAATCTGGCAGCATATCAGGAATCATCAGAAACCGCGCCTTGTCAGGAAAGCCTAAAAATATCGCCCGAATTTCAGGGAAACCGATAAACTCGTCATGGAAGCCGATTAATAACACGTTACGGGAGCCGAGATATTCTACCCACACGCCATGGGAGTCTCACACTCCAGGGAAACCGACAAGCTATACCCATAATTTAGGGAAACCGAGAAGCTATGCCCTCACGGCACTGGAGCCGACAAACAATCCTCACATGCCCTGGCAACCGAGAAACTCTCCCCTCCCACCATGGGAGTCCCACACTTCTGGAAAACCGAGGAGCTATACCGTCTCGCCGTGGGAGCCGAGAAACTTCACATCCACGCCAGGGAAGCCGGAGAATTCTACCCGCATATCAGGGAAGCCAAGAAGCGTCCCTGATCTATATCCCCTTAAAACTCCAACGAAGGAAAGAGACCAACAGAAAGAAGACAGTGCTAGCATTCAGGAAATCAGACATCCACATCCATCTAAGAGAAGAAATAGTCTTGGCTATGTTGAAACGCACCAACAAGAAAGTATACACCAAGAGAAGAATGCAGAGCAAACACTGAAAGCGAAAGTTAGACTGGATGTTATGTTTGAAAAGGATAATCATAACAGTAAGTGTTTAAATGAGTCTATAGGAACACCAACTTCAGGTTTAGCAAAAGGTCTAGGAAAAAAAGGGAAGTTATCTCTGAACAAGAGTTCCACGTATCTGAAATGCTATACGTGTGAAAAGTTCGTGAAAGATATGCACTTTGAGGAGCATTTATTTTTTGGGGAGACTGAGTGCACTCAGTGCAATTGGAAGATATCCAGCTGTGAAGCCTTCAGAGAAAATAAAATAGACCAAATAATGGGTAATTCAACGTGTCTACATACTTTGACATATTGCATGACACCTTCACAGTATATTTCAAACAAAATATCACAAGAATCAATTGCTGAATTGGACAGAAGTAAATTAACTATATATGTACGCTCTCTAAATCGGTTGGAAGGATCTGATCCATGGAAAGAAGCAATTGATCAGTGTCTAGCTTCTTTTGAAGGTGAGACCTCTCAACTAAGTGAAGCAAATGAAGAACACTTAAATGTTTCAGAATCAGAAACTGCCTTTCGTGTTCCAGAAGAGGCTGTTTCAACAAGCAAACATGAAATTAAAAACTCGACCTCGCTTGCAAATGAAAATGGTGACCTAATCCTTTCTCAGTCATATAATCTTGAACACTTAAATGATGCAGTTGAATTTGAAATAGCCAAGGATTGTCAAGAGGTGGGGATGGAAAGATCACCTGCCTTGTTTACTGAATCCAGTACTGACAGCCTAACACATCGTCAAACCAATGTTGATAATTGTAGTGGCAATCTCGTTAAAGACGTGGTTTCCCAAGGCACAAGTTTGGCAGACAAGGCTGAAATAGCTGGCGGTTTGAATGGTGCTGAAAAAAGGATCATAGAGACCCCATCAAATGGGCATTACCTCATTGTCCGCCATGCAATTGAGGAGTGTCCCATGTGTTATACTGAATTTTGTCCTTCAAGATTTACTGTGAATATAAACACTTTCCTCCTCTCTACAGTGTGTATTGGTTGTGATTTGACTGTTTACATAATTTTTGATCCTCCTGACGGTTCTGCCCCGAAGATTTTCATAGAGACAGAAAGTGCCCCTTCTGAGAAGCCAAAGAAGAGGAAGCCACGGGTTAAAGACTTCTTTAAAAGATAATCTCATTCCATCTAGTCATACCAATTTCTTAATCTCATGTTCTTTATCATTTGTACATATATATTTTTTATACATTGACCTGATAAGTTATTATTAAAAAATGAAAACGG